AAATATAATTAAGATACACACTTATGCATGTAGTGTATTAAAGAGCTAATATATGAAATCAGTTCTCGATTATGGGCCTAGCAACAAAAACATACGTATTCACCGGCAACTAACATCATCAGTCGTCAACAACATCAGCCAAACCCACCGGCGCTATAAACGCATATAGGTGTGTGTGTGTGTGTTATGCATTTACATATACCAGTGTGGACATGTGTATGTACAGTGGCAACGAACACGCTGATCGTGTGACATGATCGTTGAAAAACGCTTTGCTAAGCCGTTTTGAGGAAACGACAATGGACTTCGCAGACGTCAAACTTTAGCCCGTGACCAGCACATTTTCCACGAACAGACATACATATACATATATGTATACATAGCGATGAGTTTTATGTAAATGCTTATTAAATATTTGTATATAAATATCAATTGTTGACGGGCGTCGATCTAGTTCAAACAAATACGAAAATAAGCATAAAGCTGCCTGATATTTGTGTTAGCCTAAAGTCACATTTTTGGCATAATTTCATGTTTTTTGTTTTTTTTTACGTTGGGACGCCAAATTTAATTAGGCCAAACACAGGCAGCGATGATGTGTTTTTATCTGCCATTTGCAGCGAGCGATAAAATGTTGCTCATGCTGCTATGGCTGGAAACCTAGTCGTGTATTTGTTGTAAAGTGAGTGGCATTCCTAAACGTTTGGGAATTTTAAATATGCAAATACATACATACATATGTATGTATGTAAGTACATAAGAGCGTGTCGACTAAACGATGGCGTAGCAGTTTAATGAGCAAAGCACTCCAAACCGGCAAAACAGGTGCGCACCATTAATTCAAAGAAAGTCAAAATCAGCAGTGGTATACTCGTACATAATAAATATATATGTAGAACTAAGTAACGGATAAAGAACGCGCACAGATAACAAGTGAAACTTTATCAATAAAGGAGAAGGGAAATCGTTAACTTCGGCGGCACCGAAGCTATAATACCTTCACAACTGCAACTATATGTATAAGTAAATCTGAAAACGTAGCAAACTTGATTTTAATCGGTCAGCTTGTATGGCGGTTATATGCAATTTGTTAAGAGATTGTATCACTGCCTTGGATTATCTAATTTCTACCGAATTTCGTGAAGATAATTCGTCAAATAAAAAAGTTTTCCATACAAGAACTTTATTTTGATCGTGCAGCTTGTATGGCAGCTATATGCTATAGTCGTCCGATCTGAACTATATATTCGAAATCCTGAACTATATATTTGAATCCATGCCAAATTTCGTGAATATATCTCGTCAAATAACAAAGTTTTCCAGAACGAAAATTCTTACTAAAACGTATGACGATATGCAAGTAGAGTTTGTGAAGCTGGGTTGCTCATAAAACCTTGCGCTACTTGTGACTTACAATAAGAAGCTGTTATGCGAAAAGCTTACGTTATACACGTCAGTGCGAATCAAACTTTATCGTACATAGAATACTTATACAATGGAAATTTACATTTCAGCGCTGTTTGACGTCATTCGGAATCGAGTCAACAGTATGGTTACAACATACACTCAAAGAAATACTTTTGAAATTGCAAAAAAGAACAGCAACAAATAATAAAGTTTTGAAGCAAAAAGGAGCAAGAAGTTATGTATTTTATAAAATTTAATAAAAAAAATATTTGATAAAAAAAATTTTATAAAAAAATTTACTAAACAAAAATTTTTTTTTTTTTAATTCATAAAATAAGTTTAACAAAAAAAAAAATATAAAAAAATCAACTGAAAAAATAATTATAGAAATTTCGTGGCTCGTATATGTTAAATAACAAAATCCCAAGCTAATGCAACACTGGCTGTTTTCTTTTACTAACATGTAACAACATAAAAATTCGAAAACTAAAAATTTGCAAAATTTCAAAAATTTAAACAAATATTTTTTTAATAACAAAAATTTAAACAAATATTTTTTTAATAATAACAAAACCTTAAGCAAATGCAACACTGGCTGTTTTCTTTTACTAACATATAACAACATAAAAATTCAAAACTCCAAAAATCTACAAAATTTAGCGAAGTATTTTTTTCAAAAATAAACATAATCTGAATGGTTTTTGTGTATCATAACAAAAGCTTAAACAAATGCAACCCTGGCTGTTTCCTTGTACTACCATATAATAACATAAAAATTCGTAAACTTAAAATTTACAAAAATTTCGAAAATTTAAACCAATCTTTTTTTAATAATAATCATATAACCATTTTCATAACATTAATTTTACACAAATATTTTTCAATAATAAATATAATTTTATTACAAATTATTAGCTTTTGTTAAATCCAACCTTACACAGTTAATTTAAAAAGTGACAACAATTTGAGGAAGCCCATATCCGGTGGGTACTTTAGAACGTATGTGTGTATGTATGTACGTGGGCAAATATTTAAGGTTTAAAAGTCTAATGGGATTTTAACTGGCTATTTGATTGCTTCACTGCACAACAGTAGCGCTGCCATTGGATACATTTATATAAACACAATTACACAAGGTGAAAAAGGAAAAAAATTAAAGTAACAACTTTGCTTAAACGAAAAGAAATATCGACAGTTATCAAGAAAGTATTGAAGAATTCGTTTAGCATGACACATAAATGATGCAAAAAAATAATAACAAATAATTGCAAGTATCAGTTTTTGTAAGGCTCAATATTTTATTTAATTTTTTAATATATAAGCGAGAACAAACGCTTTGCAATATAAATAAATATACAAAAAAAACACACAAAACAAGGTCGCATTATATTATATACACACTAGGGTGGAGCGAAAAACAAATTTTTTTATTTGCTTAGCCTGGGGGAAAAATCTGTAGATTATAAAAAAAAGAAAATTTATGGACAAAAAACAATTTTTTTAACACCTAGAAAGTAAATTTTGGAGTTAAAATTTTTTGATAAGTGTTCTAGAAGCTGTGGAGAGTCCTCTTTTTACCCAATTAAAAGTTATCAACTAAAAAAAAATGTTTGTGGTCATTATTGGAGTTTTAAAAAAAGTCTTAAATAACCACATGCTTTCCTTAAGCGTTAAAATAAATTTTGAGTCAAAAACCGTCAAATTCGGTATATTTTATATAAACGTGAAGAGTTTAAACCAAAAAAAATTTTTTTTGTCAAAAATTTTCTTTTTTTTATAATCTACAGATTTTTCCCCCAGGCTAAGCAAAAAATCTTTATAATCTACAGATTTTTCCCCCAGGCTAAGCAAAAAAATATGCTTTTCGCTCCACCCCAATAAACACATAATTAAATATGTAGATACATACATATGTATATACAAAAACAAATTGGAAGGACAGGAGTGTTCAAAAGCGCCAAGATTATTCATCTGCTCATTTATATTAACGTTAACTTATAATTGTATTACATATATATGTATGTATGTATGTATGTATGTATGCATGTATGCAAATATACACAAATTCCTTAAATACATATTTATGAGCATAAATATATATATAATATGTTAAAAAATATATACATTAGTGCGCCTATATAATTGACTTAGACCTAAAAATAGAATTTTTTTTATCATATATAGTATATATACAATATAAATAAGCTTGTGACATTACATATACAAATGTAGTTATATTTACTATATATATATGCATGTATTGACAATTCAAATCCCATATACGACGACTACAAGAGCTTTAGGTTTTTATGAGATATTAAAAAATAAGCATAACTCAATTCGATAATTATTTTTCATCGAAAATAAAGATGTTCGATTTAGATTAAATTGAAAGTTGAGGAATGCATGGCGATCTGCAATGTTTTGTGCACGAACGATTTAAAATCTTAGATAAAGTAAATATTTCGAAATTATATCCACTTGTGAATTTCGAAAAACCAATTTCTTTGTTTTTAGCCTACCACAATTAGATTTTTGATCAGATAGTTCATTGTATGTAGAATTATATACACTACAGACAGAAAAAAATGTCATGATTGAGATTATTTATCATCGAGTTATCTATCACTTGAGCAAATACGTAAAATGCTGTTTCGAGAAAAAAGCGTTTAAAGATAAACTGATTGAACTGAGCGGCAACACTTTACAAGGCTAAACTATCAAAATATGAAAACCAGTTTTTCAAAATTCAAAATTCATACTAGCTGTGTGAACGCCTTCTTTCTCAAAACGCTGTTTTCAGCATCGGCGAGCAAAAATTTTTTCGAAACGACTCGACCGCTCGACTTGAACGTCAGAGCACTGCTAATATATGTTATGTAGGTATGTATATACGAATGTAAGTGATCAGCATGGCGAGCTGTATCGACTTGCCAATGTCCGTTTTTCCGTCTGTCTGTCTGCCTGTATATCGGCGAACTAATCCCTCAGATTTTGTGATATCGAGCTGAAATTTTGCACACGTGCTATTAACGCCAAGCAGCTACTCATTTGTCGGCACCAACGTTATCGGTATATCGATTTTCTTGTTTTCATTGAAAACCAAACAGTTGATTGATTTATAATTTTGGGTAAAGTAAACATTTCGAAGTTAAGCACTTAAAAAGTGCATAAATAATAAGTGCATGCCAAACAACAACAAGTGTGCAACACATTATGTGCTTGTCTTGGCCTTAGTATTTAGCAAAAACACAACAAAACTTTGTTTTGAGCTTCTAAAAAGGTGCAAAAAAATCATTCATAAGCAATACACATCTCGAACAATGTCACTAATTCAAAAATATTGCCTTTGTAAAGAATACGACACAATAGATACAGAAAAATCATCATACACAACAATAAAGAATACTATAGCAAAAAAATTTTAATAACAAATAACAGTCACAAATGCAACAAAGTAAAAGTAACAAAAGTAAAGGATTGTACGTAGTATATGTATATACATACATACATACGAGCATGTATGTATATATATTGACGTTTGTTTGCGCTTCTAAAGTTCTAATAATTTTTATAAGCAATAAGTAACGTACTTTTTTGTTAGATCGGCCATTTTGTAGACGCCACTGCCGCTGCCCGTAGCCGCGTTTAAGTTCTGTATTTGTTGTAATTTCATTTAATTTTTATTTTGACGTTTATTAATTTTTGTCGTCGTTTACGTGTTTTGCGACGCGTTTGTTTGTTTATTTTCTCTACGCTGACTTTTTACTTGCTTCCGTTGCGCTGTTAAGCACTTATTTCGCTTTGTTATTATATTTATTTTATTTTTTTTTTATAAATTTTGTTATACGCTTTATTATTTTAATTTAATTTCTTTTTTAACAAAATTTTTATACACTCATCTTCATTTGTATTATTGTAATACAGTAACAAAGTTTTGCTGTTGAATTCTTTTTTGCACTTTGCGTGTAAGTATGTATGTGTCTATTTGTATTTGTAGTTGTATATTAACAGAGCAACAACATTAATAACTACGCAAACGTCGTTGAACCAACGAGCTTATAGTATAGTATAGTATTGTATTGAAATGAATTGAATTGTTTTGTATAAGAATGCACTGAGAAAAATTAGACACCAGCATATCGCGTAAAACGGTGACGATATCGCCGCTCGTGCTTGTACGCAAACAAGCAAATGTAGAAAGCATTTAAAAATGACATACTCTCGTACACGAAGACAAAACGGCGATTTTGTGTGCGGCCCCGAAGTGCGTTGGAAAATCGCAAGCACAGCCAGGAAAGCTGAAGGCTGCAGCCTGCAGGCGTTTGACGGCGACCCACTCACATGCACAACTACATATGTATGTACACACGCCCAGCGCCTCCTCGTTTGCTGACTGAACGACGTATGAGTTGTCACACATGCACACGCGTATGTGTGTGCGTTTTGTTACATATAATAAAGGCCTCCGCGAAAATAAAGAAATTTTTCAGCACTTTTTCTTAGAAAAGATTTGCACTTTTTGCTTACTTGCAGCGATTAATTGTAATTTTTCGGCGTGGAATTTGCTAAAAATTGTTGCACACTATTTTGCAGTAACTTTTCTTTTTCCAATTGGCAAAAGTACAGTGTCGTGAAAAAAATATTGCAAAATTTTTAGTTTAAAACTTATTGCAAGTATTTTGCATTTTTATTGTTTAAGCAATATTTTCTGCACTTGTACGAGCAACACTTTTTACTGCTCAACTATAAGCGGTTTTGAGACTTTTTCACTAAAAATTTCAAATTTAGACGCGACAACAACTGACGCGGCGTTTGCTTGCGTACTGAATGTGTGCGGCTGGGTTAGTCTGGTCGCCAGTGGCTGACAGGCTGGCCAGGTCTGCTCTACAATGCTGGCGCTTTAGCCGACTTCAACGACGACGACGATAGCGCCAACAACACAACGCGTTGCCGTGCCGTGCGATGTGATACGATACCCACTGCCGCCTTGGGAGCGGTGGGGTGATACTGTTGCTGGCATAAAGCACAAAGCAAATTTTGTTTTGTTGACGACGTCGACGTTGACGTTGACGGCGACGCCGCAGTAATAGTAGCTGATGCGCGAGTAACGAATACAGCAAGCAAACGAGAAAAGCACCGAAGAAATGAGGCAATGAAATATATCAAGAACAACAACTCATATTATATATATATATATCTATGCATATTATACATATGTATGAATGTATGTATGTATATATTAAATGTGTGGCGACGCTTTTGATAGTCGCTACAAAATTGTTGCTGTTTTTAAGTTAGATTACGTGTGCGCGTGTGTAAGCGAGTGAAAGAAAGTAAAAAGCGTAATTTTAGCTGCATATGTGTGCTAAGTAACGATAATGTTCATAGTGATGCTATGCTATTTGTTTAAAATTTATAAAAATAAAAGCTTTAAGCGCAAAATATGTATTGTAGTTGCTGAGTGTATATAGCAGAGAGCAAACAATAGCTGGCAGCAAAAATAAAAGAGACTGCGACTTCGCATGCAAATGCCAACATGCGACCCGGCTATTTGTGTTATTTTTTACTTTTATTCAGTCAAAGCAAGAAAAAAAAGTAAACTTCGGTTGCACCGTAGCTACATATGTATGTGTGTCTAATACCCTTCACAAATAAAAAGTTCGCATACAAAAACTTGATTTTGATTATGCAGTTTGTATTATGCTATAGTGGTTCGATATAAATAATTTGTATGGAGATTGTAGCATTGGCTTGGAAAATAATCCAGGTAAAGTTTATGCATTTATATACATTCAAAAGGTCTCCGACGTTTCTTTCAGGATGTCACAAATTTTGTGGCAAACTTAAAATAACCTGTATAGGGTATGAAAATAGTGTAGTGAAATGCCGAGCATAACAGAAAAAAGTACACAAATACACCGCAACTTTTTAAGTGTGCAAATGCGCCGAGAGTGAAAGAGAGTCGCAGAAAAGTAATGCAGTAAGAGTGTAAAGTACAAAAACGCAAGAGCGATTTGAATACGAAAACAAAAAAATGCAATAAAGAAGAGCAGCGCTTTGACTTCGTGCTTTATACGCTCCAATTCGTTAGAAAAATAAATAAATTTGCGGCTTATTATTAACGATGACACACATACACACACACGCGGAACGTACACATGTATGAGTAAGAGCAAATACTAACAGAGTTGGAAATATTCGTAAAATGATAAAAGCAACGGTATTTTATAAAGTATAATAACCAAAAACGTTTTGCTGACTCACTAGCATAGTCGGTCATACCCAATAATAAAGAGCAGAAAAATGTTTAACCCGGCAAAATATTAAACAAAAGATTTTCTAACCATTCACTGCCTTAACACACACATATACACATACGCTACAAAACCAGCAAATGTGAATCAACAGCTATAAACAAATATAGTGTGAGGCATAAACAAGAGTTTGCAAGCTTTTTGTGTGTGTGTGCGTATGTGAATGTAGGTATGCATGTATGCGTAGCTCTACGCTCTCACCAACACATCAGCGCATAATACGTAGGCTTGCAAATTTTTGCATTGCATACAACAACAAATATGTCAACAACATTGGAAAGCTTGCGCTCAAATAATGCTAACAAGTTGAACAAAAATGACAATATGAGCATGAGCAACAAAAACAAAACTACCACAAGCGCACATACAATATAATAATGAAAGCAACAACAACGACAACGTTTGATCGCAATATAAACGAGGTATTTTCGCTGTAAACTAATAGCACACACGAATTAGATTTGTTGCAATAGTGCGACGCGACGCCAAATAGGCGCATAACAAAAGCAAATAAGCGACAAACGGCGGTATCAGTAAAAATACATATAATACAACAAAATTGCTTATGTTCTTAGGTACATATGCGTTGATTAAAATGTATGTACATAAATTATGCGCAGTAAATTAAATCGTATTATTATATTATAAATCATAAAAAGAATATTTTATGTAAAAAAAAATATAAAAAAAAGTTGTAAAAATATATAAAAAAAAGTTTAAAAAAGTTGAAAAAATATAAAAAAAAAATTTATTATATAAAAAAAAAAGTTGAAAAATAATAATAAAAAAAAAAGTTAAAAAATATAAAAAAAAAAGTTAAAAAATATAAAAAAAAAGTTAAAAAATATATAAAAAAAAGTTAAAAAATATAAAAAAAAAGTTGAAAAAAAGTTTTAAAAAAGGCTGAAAAAAGTTATAATAAATTTAAAAATAATTTTTTTAATGTTTTTTTTAATCTATGCTTTAAAAATAAAAACAATTAAGTTTTTAGTCAATGCAGTACGTTGCTCAAATAATTAATATACAATTTAAATTTTTTTTTTATTAATTATGTATATAAAAATTGTTTAAGTTATTTTTAAGTTTATTTTAATACAAGTTTATTTAATATAACAAAGCACAGAATTAAAACAAAAATTAAAAAAATTATTTTTAAGTTTAGTTTAATTTTTTTATATTTCTTTACCTTTTTTTATTTTTTATTTTTAAATTTTAAACTTTTTTTAGTTTTATACATGTTTTTAAATTAAAATATGCATTTTATATTATTAAATTATAATATTCTTTCATATAGAACAAAAAAAAAAATATTTTTAAATTTATTTTAACTTTTTTATTGATTTTTGTATTTTGTTTTTAAATTTTTTTTTTGAAATTGATTAATCCTTTTTTTTATTATTAATTTAAAATCATAAATAATAATAAAATTTCGATTTCTTTTGAAATTATATATTTTTCTTTGTTATTTGTACTTTTTCACACCCAAAACCAACGCAAATTGATCTTTTCACCTCACATAAAAATATTCCATAAACTATTTTTCTTATATATTAACATTGTTTTGGAAAAAAACAAAGCTTTATGCGAGTATTTCAAAATTTTCCCAACTATTGCTATAGCTATCGCAGGTAATTCATAATGCATTATAAAATCAAAGCACATGCTTTTGTTTATTTCGATGTTAGTTGTACAATTGCCATTTCAACTAACAACAATTTCACCATTTATCACATTTTTGCCTAGTGCCACCACCAGTCTGACGTTACGCTTTCCGCTAACCGCAGCCAAACACGTCAATGTCACACAAATAAAGATTTGATCAGCGGACAAGCAGCAGTCAACGGGCAAGCGAGAAATCATTCGGTGATGGTATGATGATGCGTGAATACAAATACAAAAAGCAATTATTAAATGAGTTAATTTTTTTGAATTAATTTTAATTTATTGCAAAGCAATTAATCAAATACATACATATGTATGTATGTAAGCACATATGAGTATATGAGTATATGAGTACATATGCGTGAGTGTTTGTGTGCAGTCTTGCTGGAAAAGTAGGTCAGACTTATAGACAAAAGGCATTTCAATATTTTATAGACGCTTAGAAAAAAGCACCAGCAACAAATTAAATATAACTGAAATTTGCTGATAAGACAAAGAAGTAAACAAATGTATGTAGTATTATAACAGATTTTAATGTACACACATAATACATATTATGCATGTACAGATGTGTTGGTGCACTGTTGACACACGCCTACATATACACAGCTGCATGACAAGTCAAAAATACAGCGAGTGCAATGTCGGCGCCCGACCAAGTTACGTATACGCTCTGTATGGCTAGCAGTGTACAGTG